CGGGCATAGGGGCCGGGACGGGCCGAACACAATCAGCCTAATGTTCGGCGCGCCCCAGCCCCTATGCCGAAGCTGCTGGCCACCGAAGGGTGCGGGGGAAGGGAGATGCCGGGAAATTGCCCGGTATGGCCGATGGCCAGTCCGGCCCTGCCGGCTGCCAATGTAACTATTCGCACTGACCGCCAATGTAACGAAAGTGTTCACAATGACCGCCAATGTAACAAACCTATACACCATACACATGCTTAAACTTACCTTCTTCTTGCAGTCGTCAGGCATTTTTTTCTTCCTTAGCAGGGGGGTGCGGCGACATTGATTTGCATATGAATTAGCAGCGATATTTACATATGAATGGGCCGCAGCTTATTGATATGCAAATCACAGCGGCCCATTCATGTGTAAATATCGCGGCCGGGGCAGGGGACAGGAACAGCGCTGGCAGCTCCGGAGAGGAGAGCACAGAGTAGAGACTAGAGAGAGCTGGGTGAGGAAGTGTTTTTTTGGCCTCCCCCACCAGCTCCCTCTAGTGTCTACTGTGTAGTAGTGACGGCTCTGCTAAGAGCCGATCATCAGGCATAGCAAACCGGCCCGAACACAATCAGGTTGATTGTGTTCTGGCCGGCCCGGCCCACCGGGCAAGTGCCCGGTTTGCCCTATGGCCAGTCCGGCCCTGCTGAGAACCCTAGCATGTGGAACAAGTCAGCAATTCCGAAACACACCCACTGCTGGCTACTTAGGCTATGTTCACAAGGGTATTAAAGGAGGGTGGTTGGCATATTTTTCGAACAATTGTCAAGTATTCCCCAGCTGCTGGTTAAGATAAGGTGTATGAGCCCTGGAAGAATTGGCCAAAGAGTCTGCAAATCAAGGAAGCTGGATGCTCTTTTGCATCTAGTGCCTGGTAACGGTAGCAGAGAGGCGAAGTTGCACCGTAAGGCTGCCCATACACCTTGCGATCATCGGACGACACTTTTCGTCCGATGATCGAACCGTCGTACGATTTTCGTACGGCGGCCCCTTCCTGCCCCGAATATCTCAAGGTTGGATCGACCGCACGTATTTTCGTCTGCGCATGTGCAGTGTAAATCATACGGATTTTGAAGTACGGAAACGCCTCCAACCTTACGAAAATCGTACGATCGACCACAGTTTTCTAACCTGCTGGTTAGTCAAAAGTCGATAGATTGTACAGTATTTGCGGTTGTACACTGCCCATCAACCTTATGAATATCGGATGAAAACGCGATCGCATATGAAAATCAGACGATATTCACAAGGTGTATGGGCAGCTTTACCTGTAAGCTTCTCTCTGGTTATAGTTGCAACATTTGATGGACAGTATTAGTACCTCACTGACCAGTTGTTTTCTGGACGTCTTTAATAATGAGCTACATGCTGTGGGATACATTCTGTAGAAGGTTGTGCTCTTACTCATAGAAGGAATCCATAACATTGAAGGTATAGGAATGGGAATTTCCATAGATATTGTTTCCAATTAATGGAGAAGGGTTTGACAGAATGTCAAAGCACTGCAAGCAACAAAACAATGCCAGGTAACCTGGCTGAGAGAGAAGCTATTAGGAATATTATTCCCAACAGCCAATGTTAAATGGTCAGGGTACAAGTAGACACCTGGTGGTGGAAATACATTCCCAGAACTAACAGCAGGAAGACAATTACAGGTTTCAGAGCATCTGCAGAATTAATGAAAATGAGAAATGTTGGCACTATAAGTGTTGGAAGGCCATACCTAACTTTATGAAACAATTGCATCTGCTTCCAAATAGCTCTGAATGTATTGGGCAAAGTATTCGTATTACTTTGGGCTACTACAAACTTATTGAGCTTTTCTTAGAATGGTCCAAAAGTTAACATAAAGCTATTTGAATAGACTTGCTGGTATGAATAGAGAGCACCAGAAAAGCTGCAATGTCTTTTCCTAGCAAAATGTTGCTCAAGACTCTCTTCAGTATTGGCCATCAGTCATGTGATTTCTGCTTCCTGAATTATCAGAATGTGGCTGAACCTATATATTGCAGTAATCCTGTGACCAAGCTTTTAAACCTTCTCATATGTGGCCAGCACTTTATAAACTTTTTTCAACTGTTTATAATGAACAATCATTTCAGCCCCACTATTGCCCTTTATTCAACCTTCTTATCAAGACTTCTTTGACATAGCTTTATGTTTTATTGTAAATATAGCACAATTTGACAGCAGGGCTGCTAATCACATCCCTGACATTGAGGTGACCACTAGAGAGCATTTACATATCTTTGTATGGAATATATAAAATATGAAATTGTAAGTAAAAATATAATTGTCACTTAAAGAATAACTTATCAGTTGATAAATTATTACTTAACATTAAAAATTATTTTAAAGTTTAAAGTGTTGCAGTGATCTTCTTCCGCACTTATTTTTATGCAGGTGGTTTGGATTATCTGATTTTAAATCACGTGGGAGGATCTGCGTCATTTGGATATTTTAAAGGTGACATGGAGGCTGTGCGGAGTTCCATCACTGTTAACTTCCTCAGTTACATCCAGCTGACATCCACAGCATTAAAAGCACTGCAAAAATCTCAAGGCAGCATTGTCATTATGTCCTCACTGAGTGGTAAGCTTCTTGGATTTATGGGAAGCTTTGTTTGTGATTAAATATGTTTTTTTTTTTTTTTTAATTTCAATATGTTTTTTATTGATTTTTCGTAACGG